GCAAGAAAGGAGCTAGGCACGAGAACAGAACTGAAGCTGTGTATATAGGATGTTATGCCAGAGGAATTAAAGCAAGTGGACTATAGAGCTCGGTGTGCTCAGATTCTATTTTCCAAAAATAGTCCTCGCCGAGGGTAGTTCTCTCTCCTGAGCCCCCCGGGATGTATAATATCAAGGCTGGTCCCTCTAATATTATACAGAGAAGATCAAATATAGTATCTATGTTGGAAACATAAAAATAACAAAATAAAAAATAATTCATTTTATTTTATTTTTCTTTATTATCAGCTTGATACACTACAAATTCTTATTCTAATAGTGAAATGTTTCACTGAAGCTTGCCCAGTGATTGAGTAAAACCAAAACTTATTATAAACCTGGGGTCCGCCCTGCTTTGTAGCCTCCCTGGTACAGTGGGTTGCAGTCTGATTGTTCTTTGCTCTTTATCTCAAAAATGGCAATCTTACCAAAAGCAATCTACAAATTCAATGCAATCGCCATCAAAATCCCAACACAATTCTTCACAGACTTAGAAAGAACAATACTCAACTTCATATGGAAAAACAAAAAAGACAGGATAGCTAAAAGAATCCTATATAATAAAGCAACCTCTGGAGGCATCCCATTCCCTGACCTCAAGTTCTACTATAGAGCTATACTAATAAAAACAGCTTGGTACTGGCATAAAAACCAACATACAAACCAATCGAATCAAATTGAAGACCATGACATTAATCCAAACACATATGAACACCTGATTTTTGACAAAGCCAAAACTATACAATGGAAGAAAGAATACATCTTCAACAAATGGTACTGGCATAACTGGATGTCAACATGCATTTATTTATTTATTTATTTATTTATTTATTTAGTATATAGAAGAGGGCACCAGATCTCATTACAGATGATTATGAGCCACCATGTGGTTACTGGGAATTGAACTCAGGACCTCTGGAAGAACAGCCAGGGCTCTTAACATCTGAGCCATCTCTCCAGTCCCGGATGTCAACATGTAAAAGATTACAAATAGATCCATATCTGTCACCATGCACAAAACTCAATCCAAGTGGATCAAAGACCTCAACATAGATCTGGTGACACTGAACTTGATAGAAGAGAAAGTAGGAAGTACTCTTGAATGCATTGGCACTGGAGATCACTTCCTAAATATAACATAAGCAGCACAGACCCTGAGCACAACAATTAATAAATGGGACCTCCTGCAACTGAGAAGCTTTTGTATGGCAAAAGACAAGGTCAATAAGACAAAAAGACAGCCTACAGAATGGGAAAAGACCTTCACCAACCCCACATCTGACAGAGGACTGATCTCCAAAGTATATAAAGAACTCAAGAAACTAGACATCAAAATACTGAACAGTCCAATTAAAAAATGGGCTAAAGAGCTAAACAGAGAATTC